CTACGAAAGGTTGCCTCCGAGATTTGCAATTGCTTCAGCTTGTCCTGGCTTGCAACATCTGGCTGATAGAGGTGTTCCTCGTCCCAGGCCTTGGCGCCTGGAACAACCAGAAACTGACGGTTCCCACAGCTCGTGGCAATGAAAGCCCCAGGAATCCTGTGTTTCTCAATTCTCATCCGCTCCGCACGCCGGATGAGGTCCAAAATTCCCTGGAAGTGATCGCCCAACGATGCCAGTGTGTCTGTCGGTTCTAGGACGGCCGTGCCACAAAGGAGGTCCATCTCCTCAACCCGTGCCCCAATCGAGGCAGACAGCAGCCCTTTCAGCTTCAGCGTCGTAGTCGACGGTGGCATCAGCTGCGGTCCAAGGAGATGCTCTCCTCCCAGCTGGCGGACTGTGACGAGAACCATAGGGCTCAGCCGTTCCTCGCGGGCCTTGTCGATCAGCCCACAGATGTTTTGAAAGTCTGCATCTTCCAACTGATTGATCTGTTGCATCAGACTTGCCACGGTCGTGGATACCTCCATCGCGAGCAGGAAAGTGCTGAGCAACTCAAGCTTCGTTGCCTCTGCTTCTAGAGAAAGCTGCGGGATGTCGAAGATAAGCGGCAGCAACGTTTTTTGCAGCAGCGGTTTTGAGATGTTTTGAGGAGTTGCAGCAAATTAGGCTGTTCCTGCGGACACAACCAGCCACATGTGGTTCGTGCCTGTGCCCGCCGGCAGCTTGGCTTCTTCGCCTCGCCCTCCGCATGACACAATTGCACGTTACGGGAACAGGGTCCAGGTATCCAGGTCTTGCGATGGGCACTGAGCTTCAGAACTACGCATACAAAGAGAACCCAAGGCCCGTCGGCAGCCTTCCCCGAGGCCAGGGAGTCCCACAGGTCTTCTGCAGAGGCCTTCGTGCTCACAAGACTTTCCTCGCCGAGCGCTGCCGCTAGCCGGTTCAGTCCGCAAACCTCCGTGGCATCCCGAACATCGACAAAAGGATCGATCCTGCACAGCAGCTTGACAGCCGGCACCTTAGCCACAGTCTTAAACCTTGCTGCAACCGCTGCCACATTCGCAGTCGCTTCACGAAACTGACCCTGCACTCCCTTGCCGCTCCTCTTTGGGCTGTCTGCTGCAGCCTGCAATATGGATTATGTGAGAGTACAACTCTCAGACTTTGGACATCGTGATAAGGGCAGCTTCGGATTTGCCGAAGCCTCGTGCTTCGACGCCTGGTTCAGCAGCACCTCGCCCGTGACACAGGCAAGCTGGCAGAATGCAATTATGGACGTCTTATGCAAAGGTCAAATCCCAGATCTGCAAAGGCTCTACATCGCTTCTGAAATCCCAGAGGCGTGCCTGGAGTGCACTGACAGCCCCGTGGAGGGGGTTCGGGTTCGGCATCGCAGGACCTGTGTGCTTTAAGGGAACACAAGCAACCGGCCCATGTTCAAAGGCCGAGGCCAAGCGGAGAGGGGCAGTCATCAAGAAGCAGCTCCTTGTCCTGGAATACCAGGCCGGATGCTCCCTCGGTGCAGCTTTTTGAGGACTTTTGAGCTCAGTCTCTCTGGGCATTCCAACACGTAGCCCAAGGCTCTGGCTCCGGATTTCCTGCCAGGATTCATCCAAAGCGAAGTCGGCTTCAGTTGCACACCGCAGGCCGCTCACGCACCCAAAGAACGGCCACTCATTGACCATAATAACCCAGTGTCGAAATCTAAGCCAAGACCTCCCTTTGGCCAGGCGCAGCATTAGGGAACTTGATCCCCGGAGCCTCTTTGTCGTCATCGCTGCATCCTTGGCTGGCATGCTGTCAGCCCAGAAGGGACCCATCTCAGGCCCCCAATCAATGCCACTGCCCCTACTGCAACGTCCCTTGAGACTGAGAGCTCGACGGCGGGGATGCCGAGAGCCCATCGACGAGTGGATGCATCGAGAAGATGTGGCAGCTAGGCGACTCCAACCAGGGTTGAGTATGCCCCCTGGTTAAAGATTTAGGGTTAGGCAGGCTCCAATTTGATTGAAACGAGATGCTGTGGCATGGTGCATCTACAGCTGCGGGTGAAGTTTGCAACCCGACATGCAGTCTAACCTGCGGCACAGGAATCTGCCAGCAACTGATGTCAGGCATGCGCTCGTCAGCGTCGACATCAAACCTACATCCTTTGAAGGAATCTGCAGAGGATGGCTCGCGAGGGGCTGAGGCATGCAAAACTTCTGAACTCAACTTGTCGGAAATCGCCTGCCAACCATGCAAGGCCCCCCTCAAGCCGTGGCTGCACCATCATCCAAGGCTTCTGTTAAACTCTCAGGGCACCTCGAACTGATAGGAAACCCTCAACATGCTGGGTCATCGCAGAGCAAAGGGTGCGGAGGTCCTCTGAGCTGAACTCGCCGAGAACCTGCACCGGTTTCGAGATCTGCGGGTGGGGGTGGGGGTGATGTCCTGAACGCCCCAAACCTTGTCCAGATTCAATAGAACATCATAGAACATCCATCATGGCCGAATTTCCGACATCCAAGTACAAGATCAAAGGCAAAGATCACACGGAGCACTCTCGATTTGCAGGCTTCTCACCGCTGAAGCCTGGACAACACAAGCTATTTGAGAAGCCGGCCCTGCAACACTTTACCTCTCCGTCGAGCTATGGAAAGCGCCTCAGCCGTGGTTGCACCACCTGCTGTCTGCGAGGAATGGGAGAACACGAATGCTTCTTCAACGACAACCGGGGCCACCAATCTATATATGTGAGACCACCTGTTTCTGTCTGCTGCAAGAAAAGATGCGAAAAGCTCGCGGATGGGGCCTCTGCTCGCTTGAAGAGCTTGGAACACCGGCGGGACTTGATCCACCTGGCAAGTTGACGCTATGCCGCTCTAGCTCTGCCTAGGGCGGAAGAGTGCGGCAAGGCGCACCCAGACCGTTCGGTCTTCGGGTAGAAGATTCAGAATCGGTGCGGTCTGGTACTCCAGGAGCAAGCCTTTCAGCAGCGGTTGCTCTGCAAGATCTTGAAGTACCATACAAAAAATCTCAGTTGCTGTGATGCAGCCGCATACTAGAAGTGTGCTCAATCGCTGGGCAGAGCCTTGCATCCTGAAGTAGTGAATCAGAATCTCCAAGGTGATGTTGTAGCACTTCTGGTAGAGCCTTTGGCTCGAGCCAACCTTGCAGAGCCGGTTCCGCTTCTACAGCATTCCCCCCCCCCTCGTCCCCTTCCGCACTGGTGCGCCTGAGTCGGTGCACGAAGCAGGCACACCTTGCACTAGGCAGATTCTGCAAGTCCTCAAAGGGTGACAGAACCACTGGAGCAGCACAAAGCCGGTTGAGCCAGGGACCTGTTTGTATGCCTCGTCCAGGAATTCTAGGCTTCGGCGGAAAATCAAGCTCTTCCTCAGCAGCACGGCCCCTCCACTACCAAGGCTGCATGCTTCAGGACTTGGTTCGAACGACTCAGCAAACTGAGGACCGGTCCTGCCGCGAACTTGTTTCGTTGGGGCCTCCTGGAAGTCAAGCTGAATGGTCTGACAGTGCGCAATGACACGGGCTTCAATTCAAGCTCCTCAAAGACATAGCTGTGGGCTTGCGTCTCCCATTCCTGAGCAGTATCGACACGCAGCGTCCATTGCAAGGCGCAGCCTTTCGTAAACGAAGGGAACATACTTGTGTCTCTCCTCGGTGGTTCAACTGGTGGCAATCTCAGCTTCTCGCAGTTCGCTGGATGTTCGCTGCCTCAGTGCACTGACGGATTACAACCCCCCGGAGTCGCCATCATTTCCCCGGGAGACAAGAATAACTATATATTATATATTATATTATATATATATTATACATTATATAGTATATATTCTATATATCATATATATTTTATATTATATATTATACCCCAATAAAAGTTAGGCCGGGCTCAAGACTTCTTCGAGATGCTTGCGAGAGTACAAGGCAGCCAGAGGCAGAAGGCTGGGCTCTGCGCTCTGTGAGCGCTTAGCCAGTCGTCCACCACGGGGAGGTCGGCCGCCTACATGGAAAGACTCGGAAGAAACAATGGGCCAAATATTTTTTTCAGGCACATCGCTGGTAAACCTTCAGGGGGTTTGAGATTCTGGGTTCTAGTAGAAGGTACCAAGGTGACATCTACATCCTGTTGAGTGACAGCATCTGCCAGAAGCACATCTCGGCACCTCGAGCAAGGGACCCTCGGCTCTTAAGCTCCTGGAAACCACCGCAAGGAAACTACAGATTCCTCTTCTCCCCTGAATCCGGAACCCTTAGCCTTAGATCCTGAACCCCTAAACCCAGAGCCCTAATGTCTGAACCCCGAAACCGAAGCAAGAAGCCTTCTACCCTAAACATGTACCCTGAACCCTGACCCTTAAACGTATCTAAGCTTTTATATTTTTTTATAGCACCCTCCATGCACACTGCAGCCTGCAAGCGGTCCAGATCTTCAGGACCTTCCTGGACGCGCAATGTCGCAAAGGATCCGTGGGCCGTTCAAGGGCTTATTGGCTTTTTGTTTTAGGCCTTAGGGTTAAAGGTCTTATACAGGCTTTTAGTTATAGGGTCTAAGATGGGCTTTCGAGGTCCGGATGATTTATGAGCTAGCATCTTACGATCTCCACCATGACATACCCTCCCGAGCATGACGAAGGTGCAGCATACCTGACAAACAACGCAAGAGCAGAGGCCTGCTCCGCGGACCGGAGGTAGAAGTAGCAAAATTGCTGATAGAGATCCTGCATGAGGGGTGGCTACATCGGCTAGGTCTGCTTACAGCTCCCATGGCTGTTGATGACATTGCTGTTCGAGGTCAGTTGGATTGAGGTGCACTGGGCCTTGCGCAGCAGCTTGCCCGAGTTCAGGTAGGCACATAACATTACCTATTGCAGAAGCCTGAGGATCCTTCCGAATGCCTTCAGGGCCATTGCAGGCCTCCCTCGAGTTCAGCGCAAAGAGAAGCTCCCTCCGGGTGACGAAGCCTTTCCTGCGACGAACAAAGGGGATGCTGCCGTGGCTTCGTCCGAGCTTTGGAATCGGCTTAGACAGGTTTCCGGGATCGTTGATCTCTAAGTGCTGTTGAACGCCGGGTCAGGCTACTTCTAACTCAATGCAAGTTCACCCGAGTCCACGCGTAAATATCTCTAGCAGAGCCTCAAAGCCCAAGTCCGAAGTCCCAGGAAAGATTGCACAGTGCGTGGCCTCTCGGTGTCTAGCTCATCAAACAACCTGGCAGCAGCGGGATCGACACAGAAAACCTGCATTGCAGCCTGTGGTCTGGCTTTCCACTCTGAGCCTCCGGATGGTGATGATGCTGAACTCCCCAAGCTTGGCCCCTTGCTGCCTGGGCTCAGCAACACAACCCACTCTCAGCAGAGCTGTTGCGCCTGCTAAGCGCCAGGCTCGGCGGGGGGCTCTTCCACGACTTCCCCCTCCCGATCCTGACAAAATGGGAGTCATGGCGGACTCCGGTTGGATGCAATAGCGGAGCTTGAGTATGAGTGGAGAACATGTGGCTTGTGAGCCTCCTCCATATCAGAAAGAACTCGAGCAAGAGGGCCCACCGGCCTGCCCAGGGGCTGCGTTTCCCGCACTCCCACACCAGCTCCGATGCAGCGAGACGTAAACGGACGGCCTTGCTGCAACCACACTGTTCAAAGGCAACTACGGGGCTGGCAAGAGCAGTCGCTGTCCAGTGCCCCAACAGGCACGTTTGTCAATCTGGGTATGGAAGGGCAAGCTACACTTCATGCGAGTATCGAGAAGAAGACAGGTGATTCCTCGGAAGTCGGACAACTGCTCGACTGCCACTCCCGCTGCTGCTCTGCTGCGGACCCAGCCTCGAGTCAGGCTCGTTGCCTGCCTGGCCGCATGCTGCGATGTGCAACAAGGGCTTGAAAGGCTTTTGGGCATAGGCAAGTCAAGTAATTGACCCATGGACAAGTTGCCAGCGCATCGAGCAGGCACAACTCTGCACCTCGCTCAGGTTGGGGCTTCCGGCAGCAATGTCACGACCTCCGTGACAGCAACAAGAGAATCGGAACGCGCACGAGAGGGGAGTATTTCCGACGTCAACCTCGAGCCGCACCTTCGTACTCATAGTGGTCCGACAAAGTGGAGTTGACGGATGTCCTGCTGGTTCGCCGTGGCCTGACATGCTCGAAAACGGCTCCTCCCCTCCTGTGTAGTTTGTTCAAAGGCGCTGCTGGCCGTCACAGTACACCGTCACGCGAGGTGCTGTAGTCGGCGCCTTCCATCTCTGGGATGAGATGGCGACGAGCGAGGCTGTGCAGCATTGATTTTGGCGACCTCTCAGAAGACAGGAGACTCAAAGAATGCGAGAGCTCTGACACAACGACCCGGAACATAAGCAGAAACGTTTTGCTGTGCCCAGACACCTCCTGCTCCAAATCATTCAGCGTATCACCTGTCGGCTCCTCACGTTGGTGGGGCCTGCCAGGGATAGCGGAGACACACAGTGAAACAGCTGCATGATCATCTGGGCAAGATTTCGTGCTGATCTTCTAAACCCTCCCACCCGCAAGACTGCAGGAACCCGCAACAGAATTGCCTTGGATCTTGTGAGCTTCTGGTGCCAGTATCCTCACCTTGGTTGTTGCCATTGCCGTCCGCGGACACTTCCACAACACTGAAACCTCATATCCAGTGTTTTTTTTTATTGTTGCTGCCCATTCGGTCTCTCGCAACTTGGAGCCGACCACGGATGCCACTCAGCGATCGACGCCATGGAGTCCACTTAAACCCTAAACCCTAGGGTTTAGGGTTTTGGGTCTCTACTTCGGTCAGCACACACAGAGGACTCCGAGTCCAAAGATCGACAGCCTGGGAGCAGGGCTGGTAACACTCGGCGAGACAGCCGGCAAAGTCGATTGCGGCCTGAGACAGGTCCATCCTTCACGAGGGCTCTGGGAGTTTGAGGCCCTTCCCACACTCCCCGAACCCTAAACCCCAAGCATTCCTAGACTCTGTCCTAGCCACCGGAAATCGGCTTGCCGGGCTCCCGACCTGGCCGAGGATGGCCTTGAGGGTCGAACGACAGCTGAGGTGGGCCTGGCAAGCACAGCGCAGGCTTTAGCTTAGGATTTAGGGGTCTAAGGTTTCGGGTGTGGGGTGCTCCTCTCCCTGCTCGTGCTAGAAGTGGCGTTCATATTGCAGTTGATTTCTTATTGGAGTTGGTCTAAATGTTCAAGCCTATTGTTTAGTTTGAGGTGGTGCAATCCTTCCGCAGTGCTCTCTGCATCATGGTTAACGGTTAACAAGCGCATGTCAAAGGAAAGCAGTCTTCGTCCCAGCGAAGGTTGGAGTGTGAGCCTTCGCTGCTGCAAAAGCTCGAGATCTCAGGCCACTATCGCCCTCCCGGCCTGGACAGTGGTGGGTACGGTCGCCTGAAGGTTCGAAGAAAAGTCTACATGATAGTCTGCTGCACAAGTACACCCCGGGCCCTGTTTTTTGAATTCGTGGAAAGCCTACTGAGCCCAGACACAACAACCCGTAGTTAAGCCTCAAGCCGGCACAATGGCTTGGATTTTGAGCACAAGTCCATGAGGAACATCTGCCATGATAGTTTGAAGGTCGTATGCCGAAGAAGCATCAGCCTACTGAGGGACCACAGACATCGAAGTCACGCATGTGGTGCAAAGCTGTGAGAAGGGGCCTGCCAGAAGTTTCATGGCTCATTGCGCAAGACAAGCGATAAGAAACAAGGCATAGCCGTCGATCAGACTTCGAAGGAAAGCCAAACTCTCTCAACCCTCGAATCTCTGGCTGAGGGGGGGAGAGGGTTCTTACATAATATATTATATTCTAATATAATCTAATATAATCCAATATAATCTAATCTGATCTAATATATTCCAATATAATTTTAAAACTCTTGGCCTCGCAGATTGGGGCCGGCCGGTCTCCCATGACATCGCAGAACCGGGCCTCGCCGCCAGCGGGAAACCACTCCCAAAGCAGGAATACTGGGGGGTTAGGACGAGTGGCCATACTGTTCCCTAAATCCTTGAGGGCTGGCGTTTGATAACTGTAATGTCATGAGCAAGAGGAGTGGCACGCATTGGGATGAACCCTTCGGAAACACGGAAAGGATCGAGTGTGCACAAGGTCAAAGACCTAGTGTACCAGCACATCATGTGGAAGTCGTCTATGACGAAGCCAGTGGACAAAGCGGCATGCCCGAATCCAGACAGGAAGTCGGGAGGCTTTCCACAAAGGCTCCTCTCATCTATAGTACTGACATCACGACTCGGTCGGTTACCTGCACATTAGCGCGACGGTCGGTTTCTTGTCGGTGCATGCACCAGCGTCAAAAGCCAGCCCCCCTTCCAGCGAGATGGTCCTTCCCAGTCTTCTGAATTTCTCTCTGCGGCCGGCCGTCCCCCTCATTGCTAGTTTGCTGGCTCGCCACGACTACCGGCGATCTCTCGGAGTCCTGCCTGGGATTCAGCTTTCTGTTTGTTGCAAGGACGGTCTCGTTCCATCTGGACAAACGCCCTTGCAGGGCTCCAGTTACAGTTCCAGTGCCCTCTTGCTTTTCCCGGGTCTACAGAAGTGCAAGTACAGTTGGGGCAACTGCTTGCAGATGCGATGGAAGCTCTTGCTGAGTGCAAAGTTTGCGGCCTTTCTTTTGTTTTAATGCCCAAAAAGATCCTTTTTGTCAGAAATACAAAACCAGTAATACCTCTAATATACCTACACACAGTGCAAAATACCTAGTAACCCATATAGTAACCCTCATAGGCCTAAAACCCTAAACCTTAAACCCTAAACTCTAAACCCTAAAAACCAAAAAAAACCCAAAAACCCTAAACTCGTCTTACTATTTTGCCCCTTCCCCTGGCCTCACTGCGGAGCCGGGTCTGGAGTCGAAGGCCGTTGAGGCCGAGGACCCCGGCCTTTGAAGGGAAGCCCGGAGCCAATAGAATAATTAGAGTAGAAGATAGCATAGTATAACAGACTAGAGGATTTCTTAAAAGTGCAATGTTCTGTTACAGTGTAGTATGGTATCGAGTTTAATGGCACAGTTCAGTTTAAGTCGATTTGGTGATACAGTGTAGCATGACAATGATGACAGTGGAGCTCACAGAATTCTCCAAGTACTCTGGGAACTTCGGCCTGGGGATTTCCTCCACCTTCACGATATCGCCTGCACGGCAGAACACCACGCGATTCAGAAAAACCGCACCCGCCCCGTTGTATATTCGTCGCCCCCTGCCTAGCCGCTTCACAGGCTCCGTCGCTGGCGGCATCTGGCGCAGCGTTTACAAGGCTAAGGACTCAGGACTGCTGCTCGCAGTCAGAGCTCCAACACATCCGGTGTCCATGACGTCAGAGTCCCACCTCCTCGATGTACTCCTCGATCTCACCAGCTCCGTTGTCATGAGCCATGAGCTCCCTGTGAGCTGCATACCTGAATCAAACTGCCGATATGTGCGCTAGAGGTATGTCCAGGCAGAGTAGGGATGCTGTCTACAGGCATCAAATAACAGAAAGGAAATGTAAATAGAGAGAGAGTGCTTCCGGTAGTCCATGACTCCAGCTGTCTTCAGCCCAGATTCGAAAACTTAGATTTGATGTCGCCGTCAAGGAGCCAGGTCTGGCAACGTGAATTCATGAGCACCACGTTCAAGTCAAGCACTCGGGTGACCCGATATGACGCAAAGAGTTAAATTAGCTTCATAGCCCTTCAATGAGCGTTTTTGCTGGGTTGTTTTTCTATGTCCGGACAGATATGATATCACCCGATATCATGCCCTAGTTTCATGTGACCCCTTCTGACAGGCCGTTAATGCGTCGACCTATAGATAGGTCAATCCTCTTGTCTACCCCACCCAGCGTCCGCTGTACCCTTTATGGAACGGCTTGCGGCTTAAGCTTCCGGGCTGAGAGGGTTCAGGCTTAGTTCTCCCCGGCCCCGCGTAAAACGTTTGGGGGCAGGGTTAAGTATGCAAGCCCGGGTCCAGGGCGGCTGGCTCATCAGACCTGTGGGTGCCACATTCCTTGTGACCTTCGCAATTGTTTGGAGATGCAGGCTAATTTCACATGTCAAAGATGGCACTAGTGGCTGGCACGAACTCGTGATCTGCCTTACTGTCGGGTTTTTTGGATCAGGTTATAGGTGCGGTTCAACGGAGCGGAAGTCACAACACGAACCACGAGGAGGAGAACGAGGCGATGGGTGTCAATGTCTGATCCGCGTGACAGTCGGTGCTGGCACAGGAGAGAACCACGCCGGAGCGAGGGAGCCATGCCGGAGACCAGTGGTACATGGCCAACAGCACAGCGATTAGCGATCACAACAAGCTTGGCAATGGTACTAACAAATAGATGTAAGCATACCCAGATAAACTCCACCCACAAGGACAATTTCACAGACTAACCATAGAACACAACACATGAGAGAGACACTTGGAGACCAAAGCACAGTCCCAAGAAAGAAGGCGGGAGACGAACAAGCCAAACATGAGGTGGGGGGAGGGCGGGTGGTGCCCTCAGGCATGGATCACCAATCCACACCTGCTGTTGCCTATTGCAGAGCATTCCAACAGTCCTTGAAATGTGGATTTATGTGTATCTCCTTCTACCCAAGACGATTTTCACCTGGTATTTTCAGCCAGTGCTCTTTGGCCACCTGGGCTCTTGCACTGCTCCGGAGAGGCGGGCCGGGAAGCCGCCACGACATTCGAATCGCTTACGATAAGCTGCACCTTCATCGAGACTGAGACCATTCAAATCCTTCTCCTCGCTGGGGGCCCACGGATTACGCTCCCCTCTCCTCTTTATCTTGTCATCCACATGCCCGATATCGCCTAGATTATGGGCAGTGCTGATGTTCCCATGGACGCAGGACTTCCGCTGACGAGAAAATGCCCCAAGCCTGCTTGTAGCTCCTCTCCCCGCTGGTTTGCTCCTCGCGCTCCACTTCATCCTGATGCTGCCTGACCGATTTCAGTATATACATATGTATATTATTTTTAGTATTACTGTATATATCCATATATACACATAGGTATGTATATGTATATGTATACCATATATATATATATACATACATACATACATATATGTAAGAAGAACTGCCCGGGGCAGCCGCGATGGCCGCAGCACGGCCCTCTGTTTTCTAAACCGAGCAGCTCCAAGCACGCAAAGCTCTTGTGGCTTTCACAGAGCTGTACCTCCTCTGGAGTCTAAACCGTTTTCGGGTCCGAATCGGCAAGAATTTCACAATTTCGGTCGCGCTGACTCCTCGCTGGGTCAGATCTTCGCCGGCGGGAGCTCGACGATCTGACCAAAACCAAGATTTCACAACTTGTTGATGCACGCAAGGAAGTGCGTGGATAAGCCATCTTCTGCCAACCACTTCAATGCTCACACAACTAAGCATGAAATCATGCCATGGCTAGCCGCAGTAGCACCAGGACAACACCTAAGACCGTCACGGCGACTAGCTGTAGAGGCGACTGTCTGCTACTACCACAACCAGAGTGAAGCACTTGTGCACATGTCGGAGCCTGGCTCACTCCCGGATATGCCGGCAATCGCAGGGCATACTTCTCCACGATGGACGGAGGAACTGGGCGCTGTGCTACCGTAGCTGTGAAGCTTCTCATGGCAGGGTATCTTGGACATGAAGCATGTTGAAGGCATCAGCAGCACCAGCAGCACCAGCACAATGGAAGCTTTGTGGACACTACTCGAACCTGACACTGTCTGGCAGGTCTGACCAGCTCACACTCTTCTCGATGAGAATCCAGCCAAAACGGCCGCCCAGGAAGTGTCTACCAGCAAAGTGTACGGCACACATCTTTGGGGCCGTCAGCGAAACGAGGACACCTGCGCAAGGCAGCAAGGCAATGACTCCGAAGGAAAGTGCACGGCAATGTCGTGGGATCCTCATGCTGCCCACCTGGAGCATCCTTTGATACACAAATTTGTGCTCGAAGCGCAAACGAGCGCATAGAGCCGCATACGGGCGCATAATGCCGCATATCGACACAACCCAACCCGCAAAACGAGCGCATAAACCCGCCAATCGAGCGCATAAACGCGCAAACGAGCGCAAACATAATCTGAGCCAATTCGAGCGCAAATAAGTGTATCAAATGAAGGTCCAGGCAATTTACTAAAGGTGGTCGTGCATCGGCACCAGGCACGGCACGGCTTTTGCTAGCACACTGAAACCGATTCCACAAGCATTGACGTCCTCGAACTACCAGATGCACATCCGTCGAAAGCTGGCGAAGCAACACTGAACAAATGCAGTGCCCCGCACAGTTTCACAGCAGCAGCTTGAGGACTAAGCCTAAGTCTGTGCAGCGAGGATTGCAACGGTTGGTCAAGTGGATCCTGCGAAGCTGCTCTGGGATAGCCACCAGGAAGTTTCCAGAGGCGTTGATCAAGAAGTACACACTGCTCAGCACCTGAGAAGTCAGCGTCAGCATGTGACTGAGGATCATGCAGCACTCCCTTGGCATACAGTACGGTATGCGCGAAGCCTTGGGGCGGGTGTTTCGAAACTGGGCCGCGCACCACGATCTCTGGTAGAAGCTTCAGGGAGTTCAGTCCAACTCCAGCATAGAAGCCGGCCAGTCGACCTCCCCATTCTGCTCTGAAACGCGAGGCCGGAGGTCCGCTGCAGTAAGGCCCAAACGCTCAGCATACAAGCTGCGGGCACCTTCCAATCAGAGCCACAGGAAAGTTTCACAAAAGGAGTCTCGATCCGAAGTTTCCGTAGCAGGATCCTCAGTCAGAAGCCCCCCAGCTTCTGTGAAGGCGAACTGAGTCGCCGGCACTCCCGCAGGGATGCCGGCGCATCGCAGCGTGGACCTCGCTGTGCACTTCGTTTGTTGTAGAGCTTTGATAAGACGGCGACCGACATGCAACCAGATCGAAAATGGATAATACAGATATGAACTGGCTGGGTATGCTGGAATTCGACAAGTCCCGCAATCCCTTAAAGGCAAGACCGAGACATGTTGTCACCTGATCCGTCGGAACCAACCTACACGACTTGCATCCGAAGGTCTAGAATGGTCTAGTGAGGCTGCCGTGCGAGCAGTGATGCTCAGATCGACACTGTGCTAGACTGTTGACTTGCGCTGTTCAGCTGTTCGCCGCGTCCAGCCGACCAAGACAGTGCTCCACCGGTTCCCATGGCGGATGAAATTTCGAACGAGCCATATTGGTTTCTGATCTTGCAGCTGTCAACACGCAGCTTCGGATCTTGGGGCGAATTCGCATCCCGGCGCAGTGTTGCAACTGGAACGAAAGGCTCCAGCGGATGAAGCTTGGCTAAGCCCCCAACGAGCACATGTTTGCTGCCACCTCACAGCAAAGCGAGCGCTACGCTTTTGTAGTGCAGTGCAGCATTTCCTGGTTACACATTCTCCATAACTTCATCGAGCGAGGAATTTCGGTGTAGCGACTCAGAGAGGCAGCCAGGTTACTTAACTTCAGCCAATTGGTCTCACTTGTCACTCTCGCACAGGCCTTCGGCGCAAGGTGTCCAGGGGATACGTGGCCTCAGCTACGGCAGACCGTCGAAGCATTACACATCTGAGAGCAGAAATCCGGGTGCTCGGCCGTTTGAGCGACGAGGCCCGAAGCGGCCCCGACCACTAAATTCCTGGCATTACACATCATTAAACGGATCTCTCAGATGCTGCAGTCGCGCTTTCTCATGTAGCCGGGTCCACCAGGGGTACAAATGAGCTGGTGCGCCCGTCCGCACCAGCCAGAACAAATCCTCAGCTGCGACCATCCAACAGCGCCAAGCCCAGAATGCAAAGATGTCCAAAGCAAGAGAACCAACGTGCCTGCATGGTGCACCACGCCTGTTCTGCCAAGGCTCCCCAGGCTGTGGTGGATTGTGATCGATGCTTGGTCGGTGACCCATGCGCTTCATCAACCACGGGGCCAGCAGATCCTGGGAGGGCAAAGAGAAGTCCCCATGTAGGCTGCAGTTGCAACACACCCCACTTGGCCAAGGCTGAAATGAAGCTTCGGTTGCCCTTGGCAGCAAAACAGAAGCCCTCAGCCCTTCAGCTCGCTAAGCCAAGTAAGCCCAAACCTGCTCTCTAGAGGGCCTGCCCGAAACGGCTGAGGCGGCGGCGTGCAGGCCGGTTGCGATGCAGAGGAACGGGAAGGCCGTGAGGAGTCCCAACGGCAGGCCGCGGTAAAGGCTCAGCACCCCGTGCTCGCGCGCGGCTTCTCGGAAGAAGTGGAAAACACCCCGAAAGCGTCGCCTGCTGTCACAGTCTGCTGCCAAGCAAGTGTAGGCGACATCCAGAGGGTACACGAGTGTCAGCGCGCCCGCACCCGACATAAATAAAAACGAACATCGGCGAACGTAGCCCTCGAGGCCCTGGTAGTGCCGGTCACCACCCGGCATAACCCACATCTGAGTGGTGCGAAGAGCACTCAAGCGAGCAACTCCACCCAAGCAAGTTGCAGTGACATGCGTTCCAGCTCCACGCCAGAGCCCGCGATAGCCCTCCCTGTGGAGAATGTCGCGGAAGTGCTGCAGTAGCCTGGCCCCCGGCTGCTCCCGGAAGGGCTCCCGGAAGGAGGCGACCGTCGAAGTAGTGCCCACCTGCAGACAGACCTTCACACGCTCAATCGGTGCCGAGGCCACTTTGGACAAGACTCGTGCGGAGCCGTGGGCGAATAGGGCCGCGAAGAAGAGGCGCCTATCTGCCGAGAGATGTCCGGGAAAGCCCTCGGACTCTGACATGCCGGCTCTTTGGCTGGCATCGTGCACAAGGATTCACTGTTTCAACTGGCGTGCAATGAGGTTGCAAAGCTAGCAGTGCTGCAGTGCTCAATCTATGGTCTGTGGATCTGACACTACCACAAGCTGAGAGAAGACTGTACTTGAGCCGGCTTCTTCAAGACAGCTGGCTCTCAATAAATGCAGAAAAGCTCAGCTGCAGCGTGAAGGGCGCACTCGGCTGCAAGCAGATGCCCTCAGCAGGTGGGCCCTTCTCGACATCCCATCCGGAGGGAATGTCAACGGAGAGTACCTGATTCAGAGCCCTGCTTGCCGTCTAAGTCTTCTGTAGGACCTGTGCTACAGCTATCAGACAAATCAAGAAGCAAATCATTGACAATTATTCGAGATCGGACTCATCGCTGAGCAACTGACTGGCGGAGCTCCCGGTGCTGTGAGTCTCCTAACAGGTGGGTCGTTCAGGCGTCCGCTTTAGGAACATATATTCAATTTGGCTCGCTGCTTCACAGCCGTCATCCAGGGCAACAGATTGTGAAACCCTTGTGGCAAGAAGCCATCGCACCATCGAGGGCACAACATGCCTCAGGACATCGTCGAACGGCGCTCGGACAGCGCCGCGGAAGGAGAAGCCAAACTGACGCGCGGATGCACTAGGGCAACTTGCAAGGCAGTGGAGTGCATCGCGGCCAGTCGAAGAGCTTCCAGATCAGTGCATGAGATTGGGTGCACAAATCGCAGTCTCCAACAGATCACTGCGGGAGCGTGGCAAATATGCTGGCTGTACAATAGCATCGACCACGCAGCAGTATCCCTCCAAGGACTCCGGGAGGGTGGCATCCACGGGCACCTGCCGGGACTAATCACTCCCCGACCCCGGGAAGCCAGCCAAGACTACAACTGAGACCAGAGTTTTTGCAAAATTCTTGCGATTCTGAACACGCATGTACAGGGAATTTGTGCAAGCATGAGCCACCGACAGCTGCTCCAGCTGTGTCACCAGATTGACCTTGCCAGTCTTCCCGGTTCTGTGCAGGTGTGTCTTTGGCCGGCAAAAAACCCCCAAGAGAATGCAGAAAGAACACCGCAATGCGCAGAAGGCACAGTCAAAGCTTACCTTCCTTACAGCTCCCCTAAGGGCAAACGACAGGAGCAGAGGAGCTCCTGATCTCTCCTAGGGCCTACCTTTAAAAAGAGCAAGAGTAACAACAAAATTAAGGATGCCACGGGCGATAACCGTTACAATGATGATAATAACAATAACAATCATTATAACATGATGAAAATGTAACCAGCATAATAACAAAAATAACAATAATGGTAACAACAATGATAATGAACAATTTTTACATAGTACTAGTTGTTCTTGGTATTGTGCTATTACTATTATTACTATTATTACTATTATTACTATTATTACTATTATTACTATTATTCTTTATTATGTTTATTAGTTGTATTACTTGTATTATTACTATTTTTATTACTATTATCATTATTATCATTACTGTTACTACAGTTATAACTATTATTTCTGTTGTTACTATCATTACTACTATTACTATGACTACTACTATTACTATTATTGCTATTACTACAATTATTACTATTATTACTATGATTACTATTACTGCTACTATTCTTACTGTTATTACTATAATTATTACTATTATTACTATGATTACTATTACTGCTACTATTATTACTATTATTACTATTATTACTATTATTACTACTATTACTACTCTTACTATTATTACCATTATTACTATTATCACTATTATTACTATTATTACTATTGTTACTATTATTACTACTAGTATTACTGCTATTACTACTACTATTGTTACTATGATGACTATTATAACGATTATTATTATTACCGTCACTGTTACTACTGCTATTACTATTATGGTAATAACAAGAATAGTAGCAATAATCAAGAATCCTTCAATTCTGAAGATGCCTCTGGTATCAAGGGCCGGACGAAGAGCTGCTCCTTCTGATTCGGCTTGGGATAAACCACGCGAGGGCTGTAGCCTCAGGGGAATACTCTCACGGAACAGGATGAAGCAAAGAAATGTTTAAGAAAATGCTTTTCTGGAGGAATTTGCAGCTCTAGGTTCTCACAGATAGAATATTGTTTGCAGAACTCCTCTGCTGAAGTCTGCTGGAGTTCAAAGCAGCATCAGCATCATGTGATGGGCAGCCAAATCCGATGTCTTTACCGCACCGCTGAGCACTCTGCCGAAGTGGTGGAGATGCCTTGCAGCGACCAGACCATCCTTGGAGCTGCAGACAAGGCCAATACTTCAAAGTGCTAGAAAGATCCATCTGCCAGCAGGTTTTAAAGGCCAGTTTGCAAGTTGAACAGAAGCCGGCATGCTGCATGGAACTGCACCGGCTGAGCTGCAATAGCTTGTCGCTGTCAGGTGGCTCCTCCGTTGTTGCCCGGCCCGCAAACCAGCAACACCTGAGGCTTCTCCGGGTACCTTCGGACCAATCCCAGCGGTTCGTCAAGCTCACCATGGGCTAGCAACAAAGGGTGCAGTCCATCGATCTAGCTGGTTGTTGTTATGGCGTGCAGGGCGGTGACGTGCTCATGCCGAGCAGAATGTCAACCGGAACAACGACGATGGACATGATCATCAAGATAAGGGCGCGAGCGGGGCTGCGAACAGCGATAGGGAGGATGACCGCTGCCACGACGATGATGATGGTTATGACGGCGATGATGACAACAAGCCTTTTAGAGCTAAGGATTGCGATACTGACACAGGCGATGAAGATGATGATTACGGGGCAGTGATGATTCGGACCGTGGTTCGAAAATGGCGGTGGTGATGATGTTGATGATGATGACGACGACGAGGAGGAGCGGGAGGAGCAGGAGGCGGAGGAGGAGGATGTGGCGGCAGTCGTAGTTTGTGAGCGATGTTTGTTCGATGCGCTCTCCTGCCGATGAATGCAGCACGGTGCACTTGTCAAGAGGAAAGGCGGCGGCCACTGCACAGGCGACAGAAAGTCCTCTCAATAAAGGCAGTCACGCTTCAGATTCAGAGCACTGAATGACGCAAGAGGAAAGATCTGCACGACTTGCAACTACAGCAAACGGACAGCCGAACCTGCGGGAGAACAGCTTGCGCCTTGCCTGCCCCAACCTTGCCCGCAGCAAAAGCGACTTTGCTTTTTTTGAGCACACCTTCTTTTGCTGAGCCTGCAGTTGCGGCTACATCTGGGTTGCTACCGCCAGCGACTTCCAAATCCGTTCCGCTGCTCTAGCGATTGCCGAATAGAATCTGCAGCGAAGATATTCGCCAGAACGAGCCATTCCGCAGAAGCCACATGTACAGGCTTTGAACTCCGCCACACAAAGCGCTGGTCAGAGAGGGTGGCTCGTCTCAAATCCAGTAGGGAAAGGGGCCTTAGAGCCAAGGTTTCAGCCCAGAAAAGGGCTTGGCTGGTCTCCACTGCCTGGCAGAGGGCTTCACGCTGTCGGAAGGAGCGCAGACCAAGCTCACGGCTCTCTAGAAAGACCTGGAGGCCCTGTTGCCATGCCCAGCTCCTCTTGCAGACCTCCAAAAGAGAGTTCAACATCTCCTTGCTTGGACCCACGCCCCGTCCCTGCATCTCAGAGAGAACTTCCAAAGCTGTCTCCCAGGACTGGCTGACGGCACAAGCGGCGGACGCAGCACCGTAGCTCACCAAAGTGCGGTCACAGCAAAAGTGTGAGAAGCGGCTGAACAGGAACAACGTCGCCTGCCACTGCTGCCCCTTCTCACAGGCACTCATCGCGACGTTTAAGGAGGATGAACGAACCTGTATAGCTCTAGAAAGGCTTTCCAGCAAACAAAGTGCCTGCTCCCATAAACCTCGCCGCTCGCAGGCATGAATAGCCGCATTGTAGCTTATCACGTTCGGATTCGGGCGGCTTGGAGTGCGGCCTGAGTCTGCCTCCCGCAGGTAAGCAAGCAGCCAGAGAGACCACTGCCACCGCGAGGCTCTCGCGCACGTTGTAATGGCAGAGTTGTAAACGGCTGCGTCCAGTTCCAAGTTGCTGCCTTCCTCCGCATCTCGAAGAAGGGCTAGAGAGTCTTGCCAAAGATGACGAGAAGCCAAAACACTCATCAGTGCTGAATAGATCCCAGGGCTTTTGGCGATCTTGGCCGCCGGCAAGCCTCAGTCGCTTTCCGGACTGCAGCTCCTTCGTTTGAGGCCTTCAGATTCAAGGGTTCTCTAAATGAGAGTCTCTTAAGTCCCCAAAATGGCAGGGCACCCTTATAACGAGGACTCCTAAACGGGACCCTGACCTAGAGAACTACCCACAATTCTCAAGTCTCTAAGGGGACCTCCTCATCTTGGGCTACAAGGTTTTCCAGTAGGATGCCCTAAACCCCAAACCCTATAATCCCTAAGGATCGTAGGACTCCGAAGACCCGGGCCTGCAAAGATCACCAAAGCGACTCGCCACTCTGAGCCACGCCGCAGCGAGGACAGGAGCCGGGATGCCTGGGCCTGCGAGAGACTTCACCACCCCAGCAGCTGGATGTTTCGGAACTCGGAACGAAACACTTAAGACCTCCCCAGAGGAATCACAGCCAAAGCTACTCCATCAAAACAACTATGGACTTCTCTCAAGCTTCTTATTGGCAAACGGCACCCCGCTAACATCGTCGCTGCCTCTTAACTGATGTGGATCAAATCTCGGCGAAACTGTCAGGACTCGAGGTTCAGCCCGAGGTCGGACTTTCAATGTGCACAACACACATCCCGAGCGGACCAGGCGAGTATCACACTGCAAGTAGCTAAGTAGCATCACCTTGGCTGCCCTGCCTTTACACTATGACTTTCTAGATTGAAGCATTGAATCTCACAGCGTTTAAGCCGAGGCTGGCCTGCATGAGCCTCAGCGGTTCTCCACAAGTTGATGCATCTCTCAGTGCTTGGACCTGAGGTGCAAGCAACAACAAGCCGTTTCAAGTCTCAAGGCGAGCCATTTCGGGGCTGCCGAATTCCCTGTAAAAAAAACTGCACGCTGGCATGAGCTCCCTCCAGTGTCACAACGTGCGTAGGTTGATGCGCGTTGTTCGGTGGAAGTCGTGCGGCTCGGTGCTCTGACACTGTTTTACGCTGGCATACCTGGTGCTACTACTGCAATATACTCACAATACAAAGCTACATTCAATAACGTAACAGCAGAATACAAGAAACGATAAGTAAATCACAGCAAATTACAGTAAGTTGCACACACGATACGCACGGATCTTGATTGCATTGCTAGGTCTGCCTAGACCAGTCTACCTGTTGCAAGCTGGGTGTTAAGAAGATGATTGGCGCTCTCTGCTGCGAGAAATGGAAGTTTCTGAAATTATGGGGTACCCCTAAATACAAGTTGGTTAAAGTTAAGAAACCACCTGAACAATGATAAAAATGAAGAATCTGTCGCGCTATCATGTCTCCTAGGAACAAGAAACATGCCCAGTGCTGAAGCTGGGGATCCGGGACGAGTCCTGAACACTCAGAAAGGTATAGCAGAACGGCCGCCGAACTGTGGAGTATGGTGGGGTCGCAGTAGATGTTCGAACCAGACCAGCATGCTCGTATGGATTAGTGTTTATAGGGGCCGTCCCTCTAAAGTTTTCCTCGAAAGGGATCATCACAAAGGGGACCACGAAGCTTGCAGCGACCTACCATCAGACTTCTATGAAAGTCTGATTCCCCGTAAACCCTAAACTGCCTCTTTGCAGGTGTGCAATCGAGGCGCAGCTTGCTGCCATTCCTGGCACATACCAAGTCACAGCCAGGTTTGCAGGGCTTTCGGCTTGAACCGAAAAGGAAGCCTACGGAGCCTCTCTTCGACCTGGGGCCGACTGGAAGCCAAGGCGCGCTTCTCTCTGCCCAGAGGCGCAGTGCACGTTCTCTGCTGCCTGGGTCTCATGAAGGAAGCGCGACCCCCCCCCGCATGCTCCCGCATGGGTCCACTCTGGAGATGGCTGCTGACGAACTCCAAGTGCAACAGCTCAGGCTGCACGATACAAGATCAGAGTTTTGGGACATGCCGGAGATGTTCCCGCAATAGCTTGCCTCGTCTACCTCACCTAACAGACTTGCATCCAAGGCACGCGCAGTCTCCAGTTGTGTGACGACTGAGGTGCCTCCTTGTTGACGGCTTCGCCGCAGGATTGCCGCCACGAGCATACATGGCAGCAATGCAAGTTCTGGAATGCCAGAGCAGTCACATTTTGTGAATCTTTCTCAAAGCACGCATCGAGTCGGCTCAGGCGCGATGGTGAGCGTGCTAAGTTGTCCGCATGTCCTGTGCTGTCCATGTCCTGCTCTTATCGAGAAAGGTCATGGTCATGGTCATGATTCTCTCAGCCTACGTCGTGGAATCTCGCCACTGAATAAGCACAGCCGATGAAAAGAGCAGCAAGACAGACTGGCGCAACTCCTCGAGCTGTCATGAACCAGACACCCGCCAGACACCTTTTTAACCAGGGCTCTCTTCGTCAAACTGACCCATTGGAGACCACCTCAGACAAAATCTTTCGTCGGGCACTGTGAGACGATGTCTCAGGCAAGCTGCACATCCTGTCCGGATAGGCAACACGTTCCTCCTGAGGGCTAGGCTTCAGCATCATCGGGGTCGAAATCTTCCTCCACAGGGCGTTAAAGCTTCTGCACACACCGGCAGTCGCGTAATGTGCGTTCCGCATATCAAGTCTTTATTTCAAGCTTAGATGCTGCAGCCTCAACTCAATCGCTGACTGACGCTACGTACGACGATGACGGCCTATGTCGCTGCAAGATCTCTTGCCTCGCCGTCTGAGGAGGCCTCACTCCGCTGGGAAAGCTGGCCATCGAGATATCCTCCTTCGAATCCCTGCAGGAAGCCAAGGCGCGGATGCTGCATGTTCTGCATGCTGCTCTGCAATGCTCGGTTACATGCAGGCAAGGCGGTCCCGAATTCGCAGACGACGCTCCGGACAGTAGAGGAAGATGATGAAATGGCTGGCGAGCATGAGCAGGCCAGCTGAAACCTGATGAAGTGATCTTCAGTACACAGCACACGGGGCTTAGGGGTCTGGAGTCACGTGGCAAAGCTCCCTGACCTCGAACCAGAACATGCCGAGCTTGAAGGCCAGGGCCTTAGGCATGCGAGATCTGAGGGTCTGTGAAATCGTTTTCGGAAGCACATGCTGCTGGCACAAACTTCTTGCTACTCTTAGTTGTGGCTCTGCTGATGAGCTGAGTAAGATCAGCCTCAGAATGCAGCATCCCAAGATGAAGATGAGCCTCCGGCTGCGCCAGATGCAGTGTCCACCAGTCCGACCTGCCGGGAAGATTTTTCCCGCAGAAGATTTAACTTCAAACTTGAAAGCCCAGTGCTGCTTGACCGACCCAGCCTTGTGGTGTTGAACTAGGAACCTCAAAGTGCGGGTGTCCATAGATTGTAGGTGCTGCACTGCTACATCGCGGTAGAGCTTGAGATTGGCGTTGCATGAACGCTGCTGTCGAGCCAAGATGCTCATTCCGCGTCCCTTGTTGGTAGGCACCTCAACGGCTTGCGGGGCCCACTGTACACAAGCAGATCTTCCCACGCTCCGCGATCGAAAACGGACTCTCTTGTCTTCGAACTCAAGGATTATGTTAAGCCGCGGCAGCCAAGGGCACAACAGCTGAGAATAGCTAAGATCTTGCCGCACGCTGTAAGGCACAAGCCACGGTTGTAAGAAGCCACGATGTCTGTGACCTGATCATAGAATGCCCTTCTGCTCCCCCGTCTCAGGACGGGCCGCTTCATTGGGGCCACCACATTTGGAACAACGTACAAGTCTCCGCAGCAGATCCCGAATTGCTCTGGATGCCTCGGTACTATCATGTGCAATCTGCCCCCTCTTTGAATGGGGATGTGGTTCCCTGTGCTCACAAGGTTTAGCAGTTCTCCTTGCTCAGACTTGCGTCAAACACCAATCTTGCCCCAACAGCCGGCGAATGGCTTCCTTTCTATTCCATGCTTTTGATTCGGGCCAAGGCTAGACTTCGATGGCTTTCCTAAGACTTCTTCGGGCCTGGGGGAGAGAAAGGGAGGGGGTACGAAACTACAATTGCAAAGCCTGGCATGTTTTTGAGCAGCTGGGGCTCCCGCTGCGCCACCACCCCGGTGACAACCAACCCTGGCGCTAAATCTCGCTTCTTCCCTCCATACACAACTGCACAGCCTCTGAGTACCCCAACAACTCGACTGAGAGCTGGACCAAAAGTGCAAAAGCCGAGCAGTAAGTTGATAAGCTGTCGCAGATGCCGCTCACGCTGAGTCATCCTGGCGGAGCCCCCTTCAAAACTACGCACAGAAGGAGCGCCGGAGGATGCCGAAGGCTCAGGGAGCATGCTTCAAGACTACGCACAGGCTCAGGGCCTGCGCTTTAGACGGTATATTAGGGCATCCCGAAAAGAGATGGGAACACCTCACGTTCTTCGCGACGTTCAGTGTATACCACTCCAGCACCTTCGAGAGCTTCCGAAGATAGAGACATCAAATTACATCAGAGACCTATTGAATCTGACGTGCAGTCGATCGGATGTTCCGTCTACGAACAGTACATGCTCAATGCACTTCTCTGGGCCGCTGGCACAGTAGCCGCCCATAGCGAGCGTTGCAGCCTCAGCAGCCGTTGCAACTGGCAGCCCTCGCAAGCCTGATCACACCAGAATGGGAGGCTTGTCTTCAAAACCTAAACCTCATGCCAGACGAAACCCAATCACTCTACTCACCGAGAACAGCTGACCTGATTGGCACCTGGCCATGGCATGGATCACAGTGCTGACTGCTTCAATTGAATCCGCCTGTGACATGCAGAAGCCCAAAGGAAGAAAGAGAATAAGCTGCTTCGGATCAAGCAGGCGCCTCTCTGAAGGGGACCACCGTAATGACGGAGACTAACAACATCGAGATCGGAGGAACCTTAGTCCAAGGAGGAGAAATCGCTTTGGGCCTCTCTTGCTCGATCACGTTCCTTAATCGTTTGTGTCTGCAGTCCGTTGGATTGCTTCGTCCCTGACAGGTTCCCACGTTCCTCCGGCCAGGCTTTAAATCAGAGATGTGCTTGCGAAACTGTCACCGTAGTGCTGACCCTTCTCCATACTTCGCAGCCTAACTGGGTAACCCAATGGGGATTCAATCTGGGAGCGGTGCCAACGTCCGAAGTGTCATGACACTGCAACACCACACACTATCCTCCTGGCAGGTCGACGGGGAATTCTAGTCCACAAAGCATCCCTCTCAGCTCAGCTCAATCATGCCTGTCCTCGGCCGGGAGGTACACGTTTTGCAGGTGCCATGGATACCAAGACATCCAAATAGCAAAAGATCCGGCGCTTGTAAATCCGTAGAAGCACTTCCCCATCGGACCTCGTGTGATGCCACGCGAGCCCTACCACATAGAACGTTAACCCTATACTCGGCTCTTCCATAAGTATCAGGCAGGACCAGGAGCACAATGACTGCCCTAGCAGTGCTATCAAGTTGGACTTGCGCCGAGCTCTTGGCTTTCGCGGTCCCTCACCATCTCAGAGACCGTGGACGGATAGTAGTTATGACCTCCATACAGAAGGCAGCTGCTGTTGTCATTATTGTGATGTCTGTTCGTATTGCTGTTATTGATACCATTATTACTACCATGAATATTGCTAGTGTTGGTATTCTCACTGTTACTATTACGATCATGCAATAGCAACCATAGTAACAGAAAGTAACAATAGTCATGATAACACTACTAGTATACTAGTAGTGTTATCATGACTATTGTTACTTTCTGTTACTATGGTTGCTATTGCTATTATTATCAGTTTTGTAAAGTTGGCTACCTCGCCAAGTCTCGAAACCCGGTTATAAAGGTGGAGCCCAAGCAATACCATCATGACAACACAAGTCGGAGCGATGCCACGTGTAGCACAATATAGGCTAGTACAGTATCGTACAGTCTAGCCCCAAAGTTTTCTTTGGGCGCAGGGACAAAAACATTGTCCGTGCCTATGAACAGACATGTAGGCATGCAATATGCCTGCCTGCCTTCCTGCCTACCTACCTACCTACCTACCTACCTACCTACCTACCTGCATACGCAGTGTAATGCCAACAATGAACACTTGAACCATATTGAAGATGCTGAGAAACTACACTGCGCAGAGTCAACCAGTACGAAACAAGCTATTCTACATGCATGTATACACCTTGCTGAGAAGACCAGTCTACTTGAGGGATCTGCAAAACTTCCCCCAAGGATTCTCGCACCTGAGGCGAAGTTTTCGCCCCTGACGTTGACTTCTTTGTCTGCCCTGGGATGCAAGCCAAGAGAAGGCAGGACTTGGGTAATAATAAAAATCAGAAGAGTTCAATAGTACCAACAACAATAACTACAATAATCACAATAAGAATTATAAGCCTGGACCTGATTGAGTGCCCTACAAGAGCCCTTCGCTTCTCACCGTGGCCCAGGCAGGAAGGCCTTGCCCAATCCCATCCCGCCTGCAAGTCGGAAAGCCAGCAATCTTCGACAGAATCGCCAAGCTTCGAAGCAGAAAACAGCTCTGCAACCTGGTTGTTCTTGCTACGACTAGTGCGCACATGTCATATGTGTTTGACAAGTTGTAGTTGTACATATAGTATGCTGCAGCCATATATCTGACACGACCTGGTATCAGGAAGCCCAGCAGACCCAGCGCCGAGCCAGCACCTCAGCTTCTCTGGACTTCGAGACACATACGAACCGATGGCTGCTATCCGACAGTCTAAGTGCTGGACATAGCAGGGAAGCAGCTTTCACCTGCTGCAACAGAGCAGATGGCGGAAACACGCACGGCTTCTCCATGCATTGCTCAATAACTCAGGGATCAGCCCGGGTGGTTCGGACAGCGTAGTCGACTCCTAAGTGGACCCGCCAGTGGATGCGAAGTCAATTCGACTTGCGAAGGCGACATTGAACGATTGCCACGTTCAGGAGGCATCAGCGAAGCTGAACTGGCAAGAGCACCAGGAATGCCCAGTGACAATTTCATCTGCCAATAGTGAAGTTGACTAGAACTAGGAACGAGCACCCACACAAAAAAGAGGAATGACATCAAGAGGTGTCCAATCTCTTTCTGTGGTTGCCCTCATCGGAAAGGGCGATCCAAACAAGCACCAAGGCAGAAGAAATCCTCCTCCACTAGAAATAAGGCCGGCGCTGAGCCGGATCTGTTCCAGATCCCGGAGCTGGGTCCAGAGGGCATCCTGGGCAGCTATGTGAGCCTCTGAAAGCTCAAGGCTCCACGCTTCGGACAGGTTCCCTGCAAAAAAAGGAGCTTGAGAATCCCAGAATCCCTAGAAACTCCCAAACACCCAACCTCCGAGCCTCCGATCCGCAGCTGCCTTGGCGGCGCATCTGGCTGAGTGCCGCGCTGTCTCATTGGCATTCTGCGGGTAATCTCGTTCCCCCTTATCCGCTCTTTCACGGTTGACTTCGTGATTCCTTGCTCCAGGGTTATGCTCAAATGTTATATAGAATTGAAGCCTTTATACCAATATGCCGCTGTACGCAATGCTAAGTGACAACAACCTGCCCGAATGTCGCGCAGTCTTGCTTTGTCTTGCTTCCGGCCATGAGACCATGTGAGCTGCGGGGTTGCTTACTATTCGTGGCTCACGCTGCTTGAGCTGAACAAGCCGCAGTTTTGTGCAGGCTTCGCCCAGGAAGGCCGCAACAACAAGCTTGTGCTGCCAAACAGCATGCATAAGGTCCATGCCATGGTAGGGCTGATCCTTTGCAGTGAGGTCCTGCCAACTCCATCAACTGATCCACGCTGAAGCCAGGGCTGGCCATGAGTTCCTGGCAGGGAGCGCATGGGAACTTCTGTGCCCCTCCTAAGGGGGACGGAAGCCTCATCCACGGCGATGGCCTCCTTCTGGTTTAGGAGCCGGCCGCAGGAACCCTCAGAGGCGTGAGAGGACTTCAAAGGTTAAGGGCGGACCAGGCGCCCAGCCTCCGGCCGTGGGTCCGCCATGGGGCCCAGAACAAGCAGAACAACCAAGGCAAAGAGCCCCGAACACGCAATGGCCCACATGCTTTGAGCCAGCTCCTGCAAGACTCATCACACATGCAATGGCTGAGATCAGACGGCAGTTCGCAGTGCTTCTGCAACAGCATGCCAAACTGCTCCGACTGATCACGGGCCAAGTGAGTCCATCTGTCCCCGGGTTAGAGCTTTGAACCTGCATTACAAGGCGTCTGCCTCCAGCGCTGAGCTTGCTCTTCGCGACGCTGGGACTCTGCAAGCTTCTCTTGCGCAACACCTCGGAGTTTGCCACTGAAGACTTGATTTCTTGTTGGTTTTTGCAAGCTTGGGTTCGGCGTTTCGAGAGTATTACCCAATTGATCCACTCGACGTTTGTTTCAGCTTACCTCGTGCAACCTCGGATCAATCCAGTCCAACAGCATGCATGTGGAGTCGCATCATGGGCGTGCAGTTTCAGTTTGGCAGCTTTGCACACCGTCACGCCGTCTGCAGCACGAAGACTCAAAGTTACTTTCGACATGTCTAATCTGAGTTTAGTTCATCTCAAGTGTGTGTGTGTGCGTGTGTGTGTGCATAATACAAGTCCTGTGCAGTTTATTTGTCGGACTAAGATTTGTAGTCTTTTCAACTTCGTCTTCGAAATTTCGCGCCCACCAAATGACGACCGTTTGCCAATCATGTATGTCAGAATTCTGGTGCGAATGATAGTCGTTTGATTAGGGCTCGATCATTATTGTAAGCACATCAAGCCACACCAAAAAATGCATAAACACAACGACCAAAGCCCCCCATGCAAACACCAAGCAACACATGACACAAAAAAGACCATATATGTTTGTCTTAGCAAGTGTGTGTGATTAAACCAGCATAAGCATGTTCGTACAGCAATAGCTTTCCTTTGGTAAAGTCTTGAACCGTAAACATGAAGTATAGCTCTGTGCGTGATAAGCAGAAAAACAATGAATTAGCGTTCGCACAGAAACGTTTTCAAGCAGAGATTGTTGCGTAGTTTCGTGTTGGACATTCTACTGAGTTTATCAAAAATGTAAATACCTTACCGGCCCATTTTGCAAACACCCATCGCATGGGTACATAAAATGTGCTCAATCACAAATTTCGGTAACACCTTTTTGAAGCACTTACCTGTGGACAATGTTGGCGAATCCAACCTTTCCAATCATTTCCATGAATTTGGAGAAACCTCGGGAGCCGGAGCCATAGTTTCGGTAATCATGGAACATGTTGGAAATCTTGGAAATGTTGGTGAAATCAACATTTGCCCACAGACAAATAATGGAAAACGTTGGTTTTACCAACATTTCCAACAATTCCCAAGAATTTGGAGAAACCTCGGGAGCAAAACCCATAGTGAACCCTGAGTTAAGAAACATCCAGTAAACCATAAATATAGAAGCCTCGGGAGTCAGAAGTATAGTAAACAAAGACTTGCTTTCCCCGAGACGCAACAACCCAGGGACAAGAACGCATATTGGGGAAAAGGCGGCTGACTTGAACAGGACACAACCTAGGTACGGGGGGGGGAACTGTCTGTGTGTGTGTGTGTGTGCATGTGTGTGTGTGTGCGTGTGCGGGTGCGGGTGCGTGTACGTGCGCGTGTGTGCGCGTGTGTGTGCGTGCGCGTGTGTGTGTGCGTGCGTGTGTGTGTGTGTGTCTTTGTGTCTGTGTCTCTGTGTCTCTGTGTCTCTGTGTCTCTGTGTCTCGGTGACTCTGTGTCTGTGTGTTTGTGTGTGCGTGTGTGTGTGCGTGTTTGTTTGTTGGTTTGCTTGTTTGTATGTTTGCTTGCTTTTGTTTCTGAAAAGAAATCAACGAAACGAAATCCGGAAGTTTCCCAACGTTTCCCGGATGTCACTGGTGTGCTTACCAAGACCATCCGTGTGATTCCCCGCAAGGCAACACACCCGTCAGAGGAACCCTAAACCCTAAACCCTGATCCCTAAACCCTAAACCCTAAACCGATGCATGCGGGTACAAGCCAGGTCTGCCAATCTGGGCAGGGGACGGATCCGCAGGGCCTTGACAAATTCCACCCGCTGCTCCTGCGCCAAGTGCTGGAAGACACTGAATTGAGGGATTGGGGCTTCGGGAATGGGGGAAAAGGGCAATACAACGGCTATGCTCAGAAAGTTTCTTGAGGGTGTCAAAGAGTCACCCAAGTGCATCTATTGATCACATGATAATCCTTGTAGTATAGCCCCTATAATTCATTACCCTTGAAATCCATGACCCTTGCAGTAACCCTTATGATTCATGACGCATAACCCTTCTGTTAAGCCTTGCAATTCATAACCCGCAATCGACAACACATACAGTAAACATGACTCATAACCCTGATAAACGTCCTAAACCCTAAACCCTTAAGCCCAAAACCCTAAACCCTAAAACCCTAAACCCTCAAACCCTAAAACCCTCAACCGTAAAACCCTAAACCCCAGAGGCTAAACCACAAACCCCCCCAGAATAGGAATCCCTTTGAGGGTACTATAGGGTTCTACAACAACCCTAAACCCTAAACCGTTCCTTTGAACCCATGGTCTCCTGAGTCTTCTCCGGCTCTTTGGGCTCGGGCTCGAGCTCGCGACGGCCGGAGCCGGTGGAGTTCAGGCTCAGCTCCTGCATGCAGCCAGACCCGGGCTTAGGGTTTTGGGTTTTGGTTTAGGGTTTAGGGTTTTGGGTTTACGGTGTTGGCTTAGGTTTTGTTCTTTTTTTGTCGGCCCTTTTCCTCTAGCAATACGTTCTTGCTTTCAGAACGCCTATCAGGCGGAGGCCTTTTGAGGGACCGGGTTCGTGGTTTAGGGTTTTGGGTTTTGGGCTTGGGGTCTAGTGGAACCCTTCTGGGAAGTTTTTCGGGAAGCTGCAGGAACTCGTAAAGGAACTCGACGAGCAGCCCTGGACGGAACGGTCAGTTGACGAACCCTCCAAGGAGGAAGCCTTCTAAGAACTTTTACATGAACCTCGAAGCCCCAAGGATAGCTGGTGGCAAGCAGGACGATGGCTAGGCTGACTATCGCATTTCGGAGCTGTGTCATCCTTGGCCAAACGCTTTGCACCCAAAGTCGGCATAGCCCTGCAGTGCACATAAGCTGACAGGTCTCTGGTTCTCCACCCTTTCCAAAAAAGGGTTGTTCATGTGCTTCGGTGGGCATGAAATGTGCCAGAAGCACTCATTATTTCTCCATCGTCACTGAGGTCACACGGCACTGAGCCCCCGGCCGCATGTGGCCTCTTCCCATCCTGTGGGAGCTCAAGGATGTCGTGGACTCAAACAAGGGCACCCGAGCCTTCCGCCAGCCGATGATGGCGATGAGTAGATGGCCTTCGGGCGGAAGCCGTCCTCCAGAATTCAGACATCGAAAGAACACTAAACCCGAAACCCTATTTATAAACTCAAACCCTAGACACTAGACCCTAAGCCCTACCTTAAGCCGAAATAACCTGCCTGTGTAATGACTTTTATCAGGAAACTAGAGTATGGAGCCCTAAAACGGCAGGTTGTTTATAGGGTCCAAGCAAACTCAAAACCTTCAAACCTAAATCCTTAACAATACACTGTCAACTTGCAAAGCCCTCGTTCTCGGACGACGGGGCAGGTTAGGCCCCCGGCCCATAGGGCCACCCAATACTTTGGGACTTTCGGGGGAAGTCAGCAAACTCCGGTAACACGCTCTCTCTCGCTCTCTGCCTCTCTCCGTCTCTCTCGCTGCACCTCTGCCAATGCCTGCCCGAAATTTCAGCAGCCCGTGCTGCATACATGCAATATGGAAGCCATTGAAGCCACATCAGACGCAGCATGACGCAGCGACAAGATGCATGGCGGCCTGCTCGGCACTGTTCGGCATGTACGGAGGCCTTCGTGGACGAAGATACGGGACTTGAGCTGACAAGTCCCCAAAACGCCTGATCATTCTGGACGAGCTCAAGCAGTCAGTCAGTGGTTGCTCACCCGTTTTGGTCCATAGCGATGAATCAAGCCGAGACACGCAAAGGCACCCCTGGGCGAATCGGGAGTGACTGCATCGCGATTTTCAGACTTCGGAGAACCAGAAGTTGCAAAATTCAATTATAATAGTACGATCACTGTTTTAATGATGGTTACTATTACCATTATTATTTTATCGTTTTCATTACTATTACTTTTTTGCTGTCATGATTATTCTAATTCGCATTACTGATATGATATCATGATTATCACTCACTACTGCTACTACCACCTTATTATTATAGCCCAGTAACAAGACTCCTCAAGAAAAGCTCTCTGCACACCGAGAATGCACACCCAGGTCAGAAAGCCCGATGAAAACCCGATCGAGACCCAAAAGCCGTATGCGAAAATCCGGTCCGAGGGCAACGTCCCGAAGCCCCTTTCCGAGTGCGTGGCATGGAGGCATTTGGTGGCTGCCTCACCTCTGAAGCGCTGGCAGGACGCGGCCTGCTCAGGACAAAGTTAAAGCATGTTCGAGAGCGTTTGAGGCTTGATGCCTTCATGATTTGGGCCTTTTTGAAGGTTAAAGGTTCCAAATGCAATCCTCGAAAGTGACTGGGGCAGTCACTAAAGTCACATTCAAGAGGATTCCAGGCGATCCCAAGCCGCAGCCCTCAAGGGCAGGCTTGAGGCTAGAGGCGTCTTGTGGCGGTGCCCGCCAAGAAGCTTCACAGAGTTGCATTGAAGCAGAAACGTTGCACTGCCAAGTGCGAAGCACTCTGCAGAGGCCTTCTGCGACTGACTTCGCCAAGAGCCTGCCGAGGAGCGGCTTCCAGACAAAATTGTAGATTGAAGCATACTATGTGTAAAACAACATACTGTGGTCTATTAGCAGGTTACAGTGCATGACAACATAGTATACTGTAGTATAGTACAGGTCCAGTAAAAGGACAGGCACACAAAGCTGGAGCACCTCGTTTGTCCGCCTGGCAGAAATGAGCCTTTCCCGGGCCGGAGCGACCTCCAAGAGCCAAAAACACCCATGCCCGGATTTTTCAGGTTTGAGGTTTAGGGTTTAGGGTTTAGGGCTTAGGGTTTAGAGTTTAGGGTTTAGTGTTTAAAGTTTAGAGTTTAGGGTTTAGGTTTGGAGAAGCCGATGCCTTCTTGCATTGAAGTCGGGCTTTTGTTGCTAGTCAAGCTCTGCCGGAACAGTCTCCACTCATGTCGCGTGTGCGTTTCCGTGTCGCTAACATCATAAGCGCTCTCCTTGATGCACACTGCACACTTCCCAATCTCAGTCCAGGGGACCTCGTCTCTGACGTAGATCAGCCTCTGGATTGCCTTCAGGTCTCAGGCACATGGCCACCACCCAAATGTCAAGGCAAAGCACAACGAGGGGAAGCTGTGTGTCCCCTGGCTTGTAAACTACATCGAGACGTAATGAGCCCAAGAACTCCCGAGAAGACGCTTAGAGAACGGAAGGCGCCCCAAATCCAGCCTGTGCCGCCTCGATGTGCGGGGTCTGAATGGTCTGCCGAGACGTGTCGACTCGCTAGACATCACCGAACCAGCTCATGCCAGCAAGGTTTAGGGTTTAGGGTTTGGGGTGTCACTTTGAAAAATGCAGACTACGTCCTGGCAGGTGATTTCCAAGTGAAATCCTGAACCGGCCCTGAACCATCTCAAATCTCAAACCGCCCCAAAACGATCCAAACCACATCAAACCCTCAGGTGCCCTGCCTCTGGAGTTCGTGGAGAACTTTGAGGCGATGGGAACGGCTCCTGTCATCACTCTCATACAGCGTGCCAGTAGCATTGCTGCTACGCCTCTCATTAGCACCCGTCATGTCCCCGTTCTTCGTAACTCCTACTACGAGAAGAGCCTTATGTGGTTCATCATGTTGCCCTTCACCCTTCAAAAGGCCCCTCCTCGCGAGCCCAGCGCACCGAGGCCCTGGGCCCACGGCTCTGGTTCGGCTGGTCGCTTGGGGCTTTGGGGCTTACGGCTCACACTTGAAAATCCCCAACAGCATGCAGAATCATGGCCTACTCCAGGTCTTGCACCATGATTTTGCCTTTACTTTTGGGGGCTTGGGCTTCAAGGGCCAAGGGTTCCCAGGGAGTTGGTGGCTTCGGGTTTGGGGGTTTCAGCGTTGAGAGCCTTGACCTTCACTGAGTACCTCCCAGAGATCCCAAACAGCCCTTAATCTTGAGGAATAGACAGACCCTAAATCATAATAGTAAGGCCCCTATAATTTAATAGGCATATTCCCCAACTAAGGGGATATTGGGATCTCTGAGCTCTTCCGACTGAATCTGAATCCGATGTTGCCACTTCTTTAACTCCCTTGGAGGGCGGGGCATCCAACAGCTGTCGCATGTTTTAGCCATTTCTGAGGCCCCGACTCCATGGGAGGCAGGCGAAACTGCGACTGCTATTTCACAGTCATGCGAGGGAGCTCCCGTTGCAAATGCTACAGAACGACGTAGCTTGATAGGAAAGGGCCTAGGTTTGTTGCTGGGATATAGGCTATATAGGGGACAACATCTCGTGTCTAGCCTTCTTCTCCAGTTCCACTCATTCCCTTTTGAGCACAACAGGGCACGGAACAAATCTCGCTCTGATAACCACGTTGGATCAATGACTGGTTCAATGACGGCTCTGTTCGGCACAAACGCATGAGGTGTGCACAACTTCTCCTGGGCCTGTGCACCGCATGAAACAAAACGCGCGCGGCTGCTCAGGGCTCGGGCAATAGGCTTTTGCCGCGAGGAACGTGCTGCGCAGATCTTCAGCATCTCGGAGGTTGAAGCCCTTTCGTGCTCCTCCCTGGCGGCCCCAGGCCATCACCAGGCAGGTCATGATCTGGCCGTAGTCGTTGCATACCCGTGCAGAAGCTACCCTGTGCATTCACATTCACAGTAGCTGGCAACATCACGTCGATGGTGAAGCTTGATGCCGATGTTCCCTTCTGCGATTTTGCCCAGTCGTCCGGAACAGAAGGCCCCAGCCCGCTCCAGTATCTAGGGCGGCAGGACCTCAGGCACGGCTACGCGAGCTGATACGCCAAGCCGATGGCTGAATGCCACGTGTGTTGAGATTCACAAAGGCACTGAGTCTGAACACGTTTTCTTGGTCAGCCGCCACATGCACAGCGTGAGAGTGTTTCCAGGCTGAACGTCTGAGGCTGCGGCAACCACATCTACTGCTACTGGCCGACCGTCTTTGCCGGGCTCCTCACAGCATAGCGTTGGCAGCAGATCGCCAGAGGTGACAAGGACTTCGGTCCGGCTGCAACTCGAACTCGACGCGCTCCCCTTCCTTCAAGGCCACTCGCCTAGGGAATGCGGTGCGTCTGTCAGAACGTGATGGGGTCTTGATTGTCGGGCCTCCCCTGTTCATTCGGGCGAACATTCCTGCCAAAAGGGGAAGAGGCTTTTTCGGCTTGATGACAGTCTCATGGCACTGCACTGACTATCACTAAACATTGCCCACCTCTTGTGTACGAAAATGTCAGGACCTCCCGCATCCGGAGCGATGAAGCCGTAGCTCTGCCAAGGTGCGCTCAAGGATTGTGCCATAAGCTTGATAAACGCTTTTCATGTTCAGCGGGCCTTGCCATTGCCGAACATGATCACAGTGCCTCGACCTCAGTCCCGCGGGTTTTCGTAGGCCCTCACGACCCTTGCCGATGCGGCCGAGGCGACGACGAGGGTCGCAGAGCAATCTTGACAAGCGGAGCATCGCAAGAACTTCGTTCCATCGACAGCGGATGCCCTACGCTTCCATTCGACAGTAGAGGGAATAACGATGGTTGGCATCAAAGTCACCCTTTCTAAGAACTGACCCGTATACATACTGCGCGGATCTGCGAGGCAGCATGCAACCCATGCGGGCAAGACCTGCGGCTGCTTCCCTGGCATACATCAGCAAGCACAAGGGCTGGCCACGCACGAAAGGCCTCTTTCGCAGTACGAAGACTGGCACCAGTGTAGTACGCTAATGTTGGTGAGACGATCAGGCACTCTATTTTTCAGAGCACCATCATGGCTCTACGCGGATGCAGAAGGAGTAGAGAGCTGTGCAGCAACATGCTCACACACAGGTGCGAACAGACCTGCCATGTACCCCCCTCCACCATCCATGCGAAGATGGTATTAGCAATTGAACAGGCTAGTGCCGTGATCGTGCTTGAGTGAGTGCTCTTGTCAATAATTCGCGGTTCAGCCTTGCAAAGACTTAACGAGGCACCAGCCTGTCTCAAGAGCCTAGGCTCCGGGACTCCTATCTCAGCCCTTCGACGGCCCGGGCACGTGGCCTGAAACAGACTGGCGCTGAGACAAGGAGTGGCCCAAGGCATGTCAGCAACTCGAACCGTCTTCCCGAAATCCCTTTCGTCGCCTGCTTGCATGATGCGAAACTCCTGGCTGAGATTCGAAGTCAGAAGTACGGAGTACCCATGGCCTTGCTGGTAGCGCAGCGATTGCCCGATGCAGCGACTGAGCAGTGGCTGTCACACTCGGGTCCTTTAACCTGTTCGCATCGCCTTCATTGCATCAGTTGGGAAACATAGTAAAAACCTGGACCCACAGCTTGCCGTTTCCTCAACTGCGCACGTATCGAACCGAGAGTCCCGATGTCTCGAGGGCAGCCGATGAGGAACTTGCTGGTACTTATGGCAAGTCATTCTTGCTTTGAAGTCCTACACCGTCAGAACCGATGCCCACCACAATGGCTCTGCCCACATTGGCCTTTTTTGCAGAAGGCGGCACCACAGCGGCGTACTTCAGCGCCTTCACGCGGTCCTCGACAACAAGCCAGGTTGCCCTACTATTTAGGGTACTATATTAGGCTTCAACATGAAATTCCAAGCACTTCAGCTCCGAGCTTCGTGTGCCTATAAGAGTCTTCCCGTGCATTTGGGTTCAGAACGCTCCTCCTTGGTGCAGCTTGGCGGGGGGCCCTTCAGGACGAAGGGAACCAGCGGGGTAGCTGCAGGAACCTGGGCCAAACTTAAACCTTAACCCTCCAGGTACCTACTATATAGGGTACTAGAGCCTCTAGGGCCCTATATAGTAGGTACCTGGAGGGATAGGGAAAGGTCAGCCTATCTGCACCCCATCCAGCCCCATCCCAGATCTCTCAAGCCATTTTCCTCGGCGCTGCGCGGGAAAAGGCTACGCGTCCTACAGCGTCTATCCTGAGAGGACCTCTCTTCGTTCCATGCCTCCGACACTGAAGCGAGGCTGTGCGATCCTACTCCGGTCTAGGATTGCCACAGTGGGCCCAGAAGCATTTTGCTCCGATGTCAGCTATGCTCCGGAGCACCCCGCGCGGTGTTTCCGACTTGGCAGTGAAGCACAAGTTGTAGAACTCGGACCCGCGGCCGAAACCCATAGGAGTGACGGGACAACAAAACACACACATCCGTGGCCTATACAGTATCTTCTCACTACTAGCAGCAAATTCCTAACAGTACGGATACTTCAGGGTGGCTGGTGTGGCAGATCGCCAAGAAACAATTGAGGGCATCTTCTGTGCCCTGCTCCGTGCGGGAAGCAGATGCATGGACGCTTTTCTGCGACACAGCAGGAGTCTGGCGGCTCCGATGACATCAGCAGCAAAAGGTAAACACAGAAGTACCCCATGAACTCTTCACACCACATTCATCCTGCTCAGTTCCCGGATTTTTGCCGAAAACTGTTCAGCTCCACTTCCACCAGAGCTTTCAAAAGCGCAAGAGTTCTCGGGGCCTTGGGAGGCTCAGCCAAACCAGCTGCTGGCCTTGGCAATGGCTGTCGGGCTATGAGTCAGTGTAAGCAGTACAAGCAGTAGTTCATCAGTAGTCCTCTGAGTATTGATATCAGCATGAGTACCCTGGACCCTAAATCCTAAACCCTACACCTATTGATACATCACAAATTGTTTTCGCGGCCGAGCCTTGGCGACGATCTCATTGGCGGCTTTCTGCATTTCTTTGGCTTTGGAGGTCCCGGCGACACGAGCTCCCGTGGCGTCCACGTCCCAGCCCTGAGAGGGAGAAAGGCTCAGGTCAGTCTGCCACGCTTCGATGCATGCTCCTGGCTTGGGAAGGCAGGACCTAGGACTCAGACTTGCGGCAGCCTGAGCTTCATATGCTGGTAGCAAACTGTAACAGCCCTCTGCGCCTCCAGAACCAGCGGAGATTGATGAACGATTCGATGCATCTCGGAAACCACCTTCCGAGATGTGCAAAACATCCGAGATCCTATACAAACCCAAACCTGCACCTTAACACCTTGTGCACAAACTAGGTAACGCCACATGAAAACGACTCGCGCGATAGCAGGGGTACAAAGCAATGATTTCTGGATTAGTAGTTAGTAGTTCTTGTCTTGGGAGACATCCTTGTGCAACCTGGAATGGTTTCGGGTATTTCTTTCGTCATTGTTTTATCGTTGAAACTAGTGTTTTTGGTGGTTTTTGCCAGGGCGAATACAAGTTTTTTGCGTTTGATGGCTTGATTGTTCGGCAACATGTTTTTACAGTTTGCGGATAAAATGGCCCTTTTGGATTTCGGTCGAGGTTTGGGCTTGTTGGGCTTCGGTGTTGCCATGCGGACATGCCTTTGTAGTCTTTGGGGGGCCGTTAAGGCAAAATGGCAGTTTTACTGAGGTAAAACGATGATTTTTGCTTTATACGTTCTTGTGGGAAGCAGCCTTGCGCAACCTCTACTGGGGTATTGATTTCGTCATTGTTTCATTTTTGGAATTAGTGTTTGTCGTGGTTTTGCCGAAGCGAAGACAAGGTCGTGGGATGTCGGGTTTAGGCTTCTAGCTCGAGGGATTTGGGCTTGCACGCTTGGGATTTGTGTTTGTAGTTCGAGGGTTTGGGCTCAGACCCTATGAAATTGTAAAAACAAGTACACTTCCCATCGGATTTTGTATACTTTTATGGTATAATAGAATGGTTAGGGTTGAGAGACGTGTTGAGCGGGTTCAGGAGCCCCTGACCCCGTGGTTTCACTCTGGCTTGGGATGCCTTAAGCCACAGCAGATGTAGACGGGTCTGCAAATGCAAAATAACTGTAAGTAGTTAGAGAGTATATGGTTGTAAGACCATGCAGTGGCAGCTGCAGCAGCAGCAGCATAGCAAGGGTGGTTAGTGCAGCAGAACTAAAAAGTCCAGTTAACACTAGTAGCACTGCTACTCCTAGGACTACTCGGTAATGGACGTCGTCAGACAGAACGAAA